ATCACCTAGTTCCAACCCCCCTTATGCTAAATCATATCACCCAAGGCCTCATCCAACCTAGCCTTGAACACTGCCAGGGATGGAGCATTCACAACCTCCCTGGGCAACTGTCCTGGGTTCAGCAGTAGCAGTCATGTTTCTCCTTCTTGGTAGATGGTGCAGTGCAGTGTTTTGACTTTCGGCTTGGGAACAGAGCTGATAACAAGGATGTTTTAGTTTGGCCAAGGACTTTGTGAGCCTCATGCTCTGCCAGGGAGGAGGGGAAGCCGGGAAGAAGCAGAGACAGGACACCTGACCCAAACTGACCAAAGAGGTATTCCATACCACAGCACGTCATGCCCAGGATGTAACTGGGAGTTAGCCGGAAGGGCTGGGGGACTGCAGGGTTGGAGGAGGTATGGGTCGGTGCTTGGTCGGGCTGGGGGGCCGAGTTATCGGTTGGTTGGTGGTGAGGTGATGTATTCTCTTCTCTTGTTATTTCCTTTATCATTGTTATTAATGGTAGTAGCAGTAGTGATTTGTGTTATATCTTAGTTACTAAACTGTTTTTATCTCAACCCGTGGGAGTTGCATTCTTTTTGATTCTCCTCTCCATCCCTCCGGGAGTAGGGGGAGGGAAAGAAGGGGGGGAGTGAGTGAACGAGTTACCTGACTGGGTTTAAACCATGACAGCAACCTATTCCAGTGCCTCACCACCCTTACACTAAAGAACTTCTTCCTTATATCCAATCTAAACTTCCCCTGTTTAAGTTTTAACCCCTTACCCCTTGTCCTGTCACTACAGTCCCTAATGAAGAGTCCATCCCCAGCATCCCTATAGACCCCCTTCAGATACTGGAAGGCTGCTATGAGGTTTCCACGCAGCCTTCTCTTCTCCAGGCTGAACAGCCCCAACTTCCTCAGCCTGTCTTCATACAGGAGGTGCTCCAGTCCCCTGATCATCCTCGTGGCCCTTCTCTGGACTTGTTCCAACAGTTCCATGTCCTTTTTATGTGGAGGACACCAGAACTGCACACAATACTCCAAGTGAGGTCTCAAAAGAGCAGAGTAGAGGGGCAGGATCACCTCCTTTGACCTGCTGGTCACGCTCCTTTTGATGCAGCCCAGGATACGCTTGGCTTTCTGGGCTGAAAGCGCACACTGCCGGCTCATTTGGGGGTTTAGCTCAAATAACTTTAAAAAAAAGATTTCCCTTTGGCTTTGTTAATTACTGTAAACTGCTCCTCTAACCATGTTTCTGGTTATAAGAATTGTTCCTGCCACCAAAATAAATTGTTACTTAATTGAGCAGTGAACAAATCACAGCACTGTACCTCTTTTAGCACCTGGACAGCAAAGAAGTGATGTGGTTGCAACTGTGTGTGCCTAATGCTTTTATCAATCTCACACACAGCAATGAGCACCCTCATAAAGTGGAAAGGATGCACAAGTGGATTAATAAAAACTCTTAAGCAAATTGCTGCTCCATAGCTTGCACTGAAGACTCATGGCATTTGGAGATGTTTCTGAGTCATTTTGCTGAGGAACCATTATTCCATTGCTCAACACTGGTCAGCTGTGAAGGTCCTACCTATAGCTATCTTCCCTGGTGCCTGTAATCTATGCTTCCCAAGAAAGTCACATTGAATCTTCTTGGGTTTATTTTTGTATGTCCTGGGTTCAGCAGTAGCAGTCATTTTTCCCCTTCTTGGTAGCTGGTGCAGTGCAATGTTTTGACTTTCAGCTCGGGAACAGAGCTGATAACAAGCGATGTTTTGGTTTGGGCCAAGGACTTTGTGAGCCTCATGCTCTGCCAGGGAGGAGGGGAAGCCGGGAGGAAGCAGAGACAGGACACCTGACCCAAACTGACCAAAGAAGTATTCCATACCACAGCACATCATGCCCAGGATGTAACTGGGAGTTAGCCGGAAGGGCTGGGGGACGGCAGGGTTGGAGGAGGTAAGTCGGGCATCGGTCGGCTGGTGGTGAGATGATGTATTCTCTTCCCTTGTTATTTCCTTTATCATTATTATCATTGGTGGTAGCAGTAGTGATTTGTGTTATACCTTAGTTACTAAACTGTTCTTATCTCAACCCGTGGGAGTTTTTTTATTTTGAAGTTGAGTTACCTGACTGGGGAATCTGTGTGAAAGTCAAAACATTGCACTGCACCAGCTACCAAGAAGGGGAAAAATGACTGCTACTGCTGAACCCAGGACATTGTAACAACCATTTTTTATTTTGAACTAAATAGGAATTGTGTGGAAATTAAGAGAGACATGGTCTCATTACCCTCAGACTCGTCAGGGTTTCAGATGAAAAGTGTAGGCATTTCTTGCAAACCAGCACGGATGGAGCTGTGCACTATGTGCATGCTTCTGATTGGTAGAAACAGCTTTCTTTAAGTTGCTTCTTTGCTCACCACTATGAGTGGAACATGGGGCTGGACCCCACCTCTAGTTGAGCAGCAGCTCTGCCTGGCTGGCCTGGCCTACTTTGTAGGTCATGCATTGCTTCCAACCCATAGAATCCCAAGATGCAGCCAGCCAAATCTTGAAACAACACAAAGCCTTTTTCTGCACTGTGTAAATGCTTGTGTGCGAAGTGAGGTGAGGGGAGGGGTGTTAAAATGTGCCCATTCCTAGAGCATCCTTTATCCTATCACAGGATAAGGCTTAAGGAAAACTTGAGGGCATGCAAACCCAGCTTGGTGTCCCTCCTCAGTCCCATGCACCAATGTGTTAATCCAGGCCTTGGAGTATCAGCGTCTTCAAAAAATGTTCACTGTGAGTTCCATCGATATGGATAAAGCCTGGCTCAAGAGTGGACCCAGTCATAATATAACAATATATCCAGCATATCTGAGCTAGTATTGCCCCTGCTGAACCCCTGCAATGTGTAACTTGAGGACTTGCTTGTTTCAGAGCTTTGTGATTTGATGTTTTCCTAGCACTTTTTTCCCCATTGAAACAGAGAGAGATAGAAGGAACAATGCAAAAACAAATTTCAACGGGGAATAAAAATAGGATGGGCAAATGTAAGGACTGTTTCCTCCTCAATTATTTAATAATACGGCATTTAATATTCTGGCTTCAATCACTGGTTACAAATTCCTGATTGGAAAAAGGCCAATACAGAAAGTAAAACATGTGGAAATATTCTTTTTCCAACCCCTCTGTCTCCAAATTATTGCCTGTTTCACCCAGAAAATCTATTTCTGGCTTTCCCAGCCTCTGTACAAACTGTTGCTGCTTCCATTTTACCATGGTTGTCTTGCTCTTTTCTAGACAAAACTCTAAGGGGCCACATGCGGTTGAATTATGGAGGAACCAGTCAAATCTACACTTGCCCTTCCTACTCCCAAATGACCATGATGGCTAATCTATCTGACTGCATTAGCTGATCAGAATTATAGTATTAAAGCTACAGGCACTTAGCAGCTATTTTTAGTGAAATGTTCTTATTTATGTTATGATTTAGACACAAATACCATAGTGGTAATTTTTCAAAGGCAATAACTTGCCACTAAGAAATTGTATTTATCGATTGCCTGACACTAAACACTCTGAATCTTAGACTATTAGCACAAGAGAACCATAAAACCTGAGGCTTTCATTGTTCTGCAAAAATTGTTTCATCTTACCAAGACTATTACACACACAGAGCAGATTTTGACTTAGTCAGGAGACTACAAATGCCCGATTAGTTTAAGAAAAACTGTTTTCCAAGTATATACTCATATGATTTCCACAAAAGCTATATTATACCATTATGTCATAAAAAGGAATAGCATCAAATATGTTTTCATGAATAATTTTTTTTTTTTTGAAACATTTTAAATCCAGTACCACATTTGAGACAAACACTTATGTATTGTTCCACAAAATTTTCACCCTGCATGTCAGTTTAGAAAGAAACTCATCCCACAAAGGAAGCTACTAAAAATGTTGTTGTATCTTACTACAGCTGAAAACATGCTGCTGAAAACTACTCTAAACCAGCAATGGATTCAAACCCCAGTTCTAGAGTGTTCAAGGTTAAATTCAAGTGCTTTTAAATTTAGAAGTTGTCAAATTAACATCCATATATATAGAGAGAGATATGTGCATATATATTTGGCATTAATGCTTTTCCAAGCTTGCTGTTGGGGTATTTCCAGCTTGATTTAATTTCCTTAGTTCGTAACATGACCTATTTCCAAAACAGTTCTGTTGTTATAAAAAATATTCTGGCCAGAAAAGCAAATGAGAACATTTTCTTTAAGAATGAATTTCATTAATAAGACTATCAAAATCTTTCCTTCTTTGTATGTTACATACTCATTTAGTTCTCAAATGACGTATCTGATGCTACAAGTGCTTGGTTCTCAGTATTTCTCTTTGCCCTAGACATTGTAATTGGAGATACCATGACTTATACCTAGCAACACCAGTGGGGCGTGTTATTACACCTATTCTATTCTTTTGACACCCCACTAAATCTGAAGCATATAACAAAATAATGGTTTTCTCCTCCAACACACTTTTGCAAAAATTATACCTTTTGTCTGTGAGCAAAGGCATGCCTAAAGCAGTTCCTGTCTTGCAAAAGCTCCCGAGGCAGTTACAGTATAGCAAGCATGCAGCGGGCCAGCACAATACAAGTATGACAGGGGAAGAAAAGAATTATGATCCTGAACAGATTTAGAACCAGTGGCAGGATACTGATTGGCAGCAGGCAAGTGAATTGCACCATTTTATGTTATGTGACAACATATACTGGCCTTGTTCAGTGAGCTGTTTGGAGAGGTGTTGTTACAGGAACTAGTGCACAGACCTTTGCTCAGACCAATGGCTAGATGGCAATTTCAGTGCAAACCAACAACAGGTTGAAGACTATGTTATTAAGTCAAATCCATATAGAGTGATCAGGACACGGTTCTGACTTGTTTCTCTTTATGTACTAAAATAAAAGACATGGTTTCACACTTCCAAGATCTCACCTGGTGAAATTCAATCACATATAAATTTGACTTACTGTACCTCACTAAACTGTTGGCAGTGTCAGGATCCTGTGCTGTTACTGTGCCAACAGCAGTCCCAATCTTCGCATTTTCATAAACTTCCATGACATAGGAAGGCATAGTGAAAAGCGGAGGTTCGTCCACATCACCAACAATGATCTTCAACATTGTTACATCTTTGAATGGCCCCAAGTGTGAAAAACGGAAATCAAGGTGAGTATTCGCTCCTTCTATATTAAGTGTATATGACTTCTTTTTTTCATAGTTGAGTGGCTGTTGGCAGAAAAAAAAAGATTTATCTTTGCCATTCTGTGCTTCAGTTTAGTCTGCTAGCAAGCTAAATACATCTTTTCCATTGAATTTAAAACACATTTCTCCATGTTACTGGATAGGGACAATATTCTGTGATATTCTAGCAGCTATTGCCATACCTCATACCATAATAAGGGTAAAGATACACATGAAGCAGGATGGATTCATGTTTTCTCTACAACAGAACTGTGGGCAAGGTACCAGTTCTGCAAAAACTCAAGGTTTAGAATGAGCCTCAGATTCTTCTTCCATGATAATGTAAAGTCTCTGGACTTTATCACCTTTCAGTTTTTATAGGTCAATGCTAACTACTGAAAAAGTAGAGATTGACATACCTCAAATTAAATTAACTTTGTATCTTTAATTGACAGGTTTAATAGCTAAAATTCTTTGGGGCATCTGCTCTCTTAAATCCTTAACTGAAAAAAAGCAACTTCTTGCAGGAAAACATTCAGTTATCATAGGAGACAGGAATTTAAGTATGTAAGAATAGTCTAAACATGTGCCTGTGTGCTTTTCTAATCAGAAAGGGTGCATCCTTGTATTCTAGACCATTCTCTTTTTGATTCTTCAACAGCACCAGTGAGAGAGACAGTTCTTCAGCCTGTTTCACCATGTACTGCTGTGCTGCACATGGATTACACTTTCATAAATGGGAGAAAGTCTGCAGCTGGGGATATACCTTCTACAGGGTCTAATGTTCCAATAAAACCTAACAGAAGGCACATTCCCAGCTGTACCATTCACCAGAACTGCCACTGCTACTTTAGCATTGTCCTGATATTTAAATGAATAGATTCCTACTAGGAATCCTACCTTTCTACTAGGACAGAAGAAGAAGCTGAGGGCCTGACTCATGTCACACAGCATGGGTACTTTCTTAGGACTTCCATTTCTAGCTTGCTGTTTACACATGTGAAAATTACATCTCCCTAGTTCAGCTGTTTTTTAGATTATTGTTAATTAATTTTAATGAGTTGATATAGTTATTTTAACCCTACATTAAAATACTATTCCACTCTCTTATGCAAGATAGGAGATAAATATGACACACACAACTTTCAACTCTTCCAGTATCAGATAGTTACATAGCAAGAGGGGACTAAAAAAGTATTTAATTTTAAAATACTCAAGTAATGAAGTGCCATTAGCAGATATATAATTAAGCAATGCTTTCACTAGAAGCCACGTTTACAGGACCACGACTATTTTGAGTTGGTTTCTTCAGTCTCACTAAAGTAACTGACTACTTTTCATGGACAGCCCACCACATAAGATTTTTCTACATATTGTTTATTAATTCTAATTACTGAAAAAGCTTTAAAAAATACCAGTTAAGTTCCAGGCAGTCATAGGACAGATTTCAAGTTTCAGACTGCTATTTTTCAAATGTGCTTCCATGTTGAGCAGAAGCAGTCATTCTTGAATAACAGACACCTCAATACTTACTGGGTTACAAATTTCTGGCTTGAGCCAATTTATAAAGAAGGGAGGTAGCTTAATATTTCTTATCATACTGTGAAAAGCAGTTAGTTTGTACAGACACATGTATACTACCATTAAGTTTTGAACAGTTCCAGAACACAGGCATAAAACTAAAAGAATAATTGAAAATATTATGACATTATGGCATGGCAGAATTCCACAATGACTGCTATCATTCTGTGTGGATCTGACAGCCTGTCTGAACACAACTCAGTAAAGTATTCAAGCCTCTGACCAAGGATAAACTGGTATTTCCTATCACCCCAAAATATGAAAAAAAGTACTTAAGGCAAGAAACATGAGGAACACAATGTGTGATCTGTCAGTGTCAGCATGCATTTTGTAGATAAAATCTACAGTAAATTTGACTGATGATGTGTAAGAATAAGAGTTGGCTAGGATTTGTATATGCCAGATATTTGATTTCTGCTCTGAAAAAAATAAAAATAGCGAAGTATATTACTCACATCAATTAATAAAGAAATACAAGCTTAATAAATTCAAAGTCAGATATTGTTCATGGATTTATGATTATTTCTGTTATGAGCAGGGAAATATTAAATAGTAATCCACACTGCTCTGCAGCATACATATTCTAAGATTACAGCCTTAGAGTAGGATTGCAAATTTTAATTATGATACCTTTTTTTTGAAAATTAACTAAGTTTATACTGACAATGACTGGAGTAGGTTGTATAAGAAGATTAATTTCTCCCAGAAAATATGCAAAGAATGACACAAAGTCTTGGTTTTCTTCTTTTGTGCAGTTATTCAAGCAGAAAATACCAGAACTTTTTTTTTTTTTTTTTCTACAAATACAAGAACAACCCATTCAGATAATCAGGAAAAGCTGACATTTTAACTATAGCCAAAGCAGGTTTTTACTTTAATTTTCTTTCTTCTTCTCATAACATACCTGAATTAAAGAATTGGATAGAAGGACATAAAAGAAAAACAGCTTACTCTACTGCACTGTAATCCACAGACATTAAAAAAACAACACTATATACAACACTGAGCTATTTTAGACAGAAAAGACATATACAATACTAAGGATACTACTACCAGGAGCAATTTTTAAAATTAAAAACCCCATAAATTTCCTCGCTCTCTCCAGAGGAGCACAAAGGATATTTTCAGGTAAAACGAGCCCTGTGATATTCCACTACATTGAAGAGCTCGTAAGTCCAGTTGTTATAATAGTTTTCTTTTATTTTTGATAAAATATTGAAAAACTGAAACCTGGCTATATTCTGAATTTCCAGAACTGTATCTTGCTGGGTTTCTGTTTAAACACTGTGCATGTGTTAAAACTGACATTTATCTTACACTTGAAGAACAAATTTGGCCTCCATTTATAGCCTGTCTAATGCTGTGCTAAGAAATTTGCTCACCACCTTTTACATTATTTAAGGTAACGTGAACTGTTTACCAGTAGAAGGTCTTTATTCCCCTCTTTTTTTTTTTTTAGTAACTATGAATCATAACATTCAACTTAAAATACCTAAGCTATTCCAATTCATCAAGAATAGCCTATGTTCTTTCTCATTCACTCACAGAGAGGCCTTGATTAGCAATAACATATCTCAGTCATTAGGTGCAGCTATAAGATGAAGAACTTCCGAATTTCTCTAAAAACATTTCTAGATTTACTTATAGTTGTTCCAATACTGAAGATCATTAACTTTTTCCTGGAAATAAACCAAATTTTTTTTTGATGGACCTAAACTGAATTTTTGTTCATGTTTCTTATTTTCCCAATGTCTTTCCATGACAATTACCCATATATCTTCAGTATGTTTTCACTGGTTATTATGATTTTCATGAAAAACCGAAAATAGTAAATGTAACTCAAGTCATCAGGGTTAACTGGAAAATACTGCTGTTTATTATACTGCAGTTTATGTTTCTAAAATCAGATTACCAAAAAGGAACAGAAAATTTTATGAGAAGTAAATGGCTGTTTCCTGACCATTTCAAGACTCTTCATACAAAATGGAAGAGAAATGGGCTGTTCAGACTGTTTCTTTTGGGAAATCTGAATGATACTTGCTGACTTGAGGTCAGAAAAGGTCTAGCGTACTTCTCCGAAACTAACAAGGGGGGAAAACTTGCTGACCAGTCATTCTCTGAAGAATCCAGAGAGTAATGGCTTTCACTATGGTAGATTGCTTTGGTTTCCTCAAGTTTGGTTTTGTTTTTCTCAAGCCACTGAAACAGGCTGCCCCAGAAAAGTTGTGGATGCTCCATCCCTGGCAGTGTTCAAGGCTAGGCTGTATGGGCTTTTGAGAAACCTAGCCTAGTGGAAGGTGTCCCTACCCACGGCAGGAGGGTTAAAGCTAAATGATCTTTAAGGTCCTTTCCAACCCAAACTGTTCTATGATTCTATTAAGTCTCCCACTCAAACAAAGAATTGCATGAGGCAAAGGAGAAATCCTTCAGAATAGTTTGCAATCAACCAGGATTTGTGGCAGGATCTCTGAGACTGAAAGGTGGCTCCACAGGGCTTGTTAATAGGGAAGAAAATGACAGTACTGGACATTTTGGGTTAACCCAGAATAAGACTAAAAGAGATTTCTTCCAGCACTCACCGACTTGGCATGGCTGTTGAACAGCTTACCATGAAGTCCCTGAGAAATTTTATTTTTGTGTCTGAACCTCAAGTAAGTGAAGTTTCAAAAGGTTTGAGGAAGATTTACTTCTGGCTTTTCTGGGAATAACTAGGGAAGTTATTAGAGGACAAGTCATTCCGTTCTACTGTTACAGAAGGTACTGGCATGTGATATATGAAAAAAAATCAATTCTGTACTTAGTGGAGATTTATCTGTTTCAGGCATGCTATCAAACTAATTCAGCTTCAAACCCAATATAAATGAAAAGTAATGTATAGAAGCAGATATATATATATAAAATATATACACAGTATATAAAATATTTATTAAACTGCATAAAAGATCTGATTAAAAAAAAACCTTAAAAAATGAGATCACCTTTTTGTACTGTACAAATGGATATTATAACTTCTCCAAGGAATTTATGAACTTTGAGTATTGAATTTCTGGTCAAGTGAAATAGAATATTACCTAAGCAAAATATACCCCCTCTTGCCTTGATGGGAAAATGACTCAAATCACTGTCATGTGTACGTACAAGAACAAGCAACACATGCTTTTGTCATATTCTAAACCAGTGAAAATATCTCTAAAGCTATTCTGTCTGCCAAAATCAGTAAAAAAATGATTTTGCATGTTTTTATGTGTGGACTCTTATTCTGTTCCAAATTCTTCCTTTTTGCTTCATGTTCAGTATATGCATAAATGTATTTAATGAACAATAGCACAGTGAACTTTTAAACAGAAATCAATGCTCATTTTAAAGAAGAAACAACAGATTATGGCATTAGCTACTTCAACGCCACCAGGAAATAAGTTCAGTGGTATAAAAAAGACAGAGCTTACTTTCATGTGAAAGAAGCAGCTGGGTACTAATCAACCTTTATAAATGACACCGAAAAGTTAAAAGATATTGGCAATGATAGAACAATTTTAAAATCATTATGAATCTGAAGTTTCAAATCAGTTTTTATTTATTCTTTTGTCCTGTATTTTCTCTGATTTTCATTGCTCCTACCATTAATTAGACCCGGAATACATCTCACTAAATACAAATACAAATTTGCTTCTATTTGTTAGGCTGTATGGATATATATTATGGATATGGATATATATTGATGCTTACAAAACTCAATAACAACAAATCCATGTGAGAATTGCTAATTGATGTCTGTTAGTCCAAGTGAAAACTGAAATCAAGAAGTCATTTCCTTTTGTTGGAAAGTATTTTAAAAAACAGCACTTAAATATAACAACCCATTTTCCTGGGTTATTATAAATGTAAACTTAAATTTAGGCATAGAGTATTAGCATAAGTTGGCAAAAACTTACGGAACCGTTAATAGGAACTCAGTTTAGGGGACTTAATATGAAATTATGGAGTTAGATTTGTGCATTAAAATTAATAGTTCAAATAGACTGGGATAAATGTAGGAAGCTCAGAAAAATGATACCTGTGTGATGGCTTGACCAGTTACATTTTGAGTCTTTATAAACAAGCTGGTACTTACATTATACAGTGCACAGTACTGCACAATTTAGAAGCCAGCTGGGATGTAGGTCAAAGAATAACCATCTATGAAAACTGACTTATACATTTGTTGCCACAGACAAAACTTTTATGCCAAGAGTTAAGCAGTCTGGGGACAACAATGCAACTTTCAGCCAAATTTTACTTCTTTGAAAGAAATTTAAAGGGCAAAACCACCATGGAGAAGAATTAAGCTATCTTCATTAAAAAATCAGTAACATTTAGTTTATTATTAACTATTAGATATGACTATTCAAAAAAGCACAAAGGATTTAAATAACTGTTTCTTTCCTTGAATTTATTTTCTCCCTGCCTTACCTGCAGAGATCTAGAGTGTCTCCAGAAGCAATGTGAAGAAGCTTACACTGCTGAAATGCACAGTTCAATAGGATTATGCAGTATTTTCATAACACTATTTGCTTATTCAGCATTTATTGTTACATTTTATTTACACACACAAGGAACTTTCAAAGTCTATTGCTTACCTTCTTCAGCGAAATAATTCCTTCCCTTGTTTCTTTGTCAGTAGATATAGAGAACACCCCAGAGCCATCACCATTTATAATTGTGTACTTCATGTCTGCATTTGAACCAGTGTCTGCATCGTTTGCTTTGATTTTGCCAACTGCTGATCCAACTTGAGCTGATTCAGGAACATACAGTTGATAATGTTCTGAGGAGGAAGAAAAAACAACACAATAGTTTGGACATTTTGTAGCCAAACTAAGTTAGAGAGCCGTTATGCACTCGATATACTTCTGAGTAAATGAAAGAGCATTCCATATGCAAAACTGACAAATAATGCTATCAATCAGTTCATTATGATTCCTGACAGAATTTAAAAGTTTTTTTTTACTTTGGATGCCTTCATTGCCCATTCAAAATCCAAATTACCTAATGCAGGATTTATTTTGATCTTCAAAACTATTTTTCCTGTTCTTTACATACCACAAAAATTAATTCTGAAGCTTACTTCACACCAGTATTTTTTAAATTATATCTTCTCCATAACCAAAATATATTTATCTTCACCAAGTTACCGTCACTGAGTAGTCACATGAGTACTTTTGAACTGGAAAATCTTTGTATGTTATATTCTCTTTTTTTCTGAATTCTGATCAGTTTTGTAACATTGCATCAGTATTTTGTAACACTGAATCAACGCAATTACACATTTTTTTCCATAGAAAAATGTAGTAAGTCTCAATATTGTACTATTACAACTTTGCAGTGTTTTTGTTGCAGCACAAAACCGTTTGTAAACAAATTTGAGCTGGTATCCACAGTAAAGAAAAATGAACATAATGGGTTGTCCTGAACCCAGGACATGGGTACATAAAAGTATTGCACAATCATGCCCATAAAAAGCATCCATAACATCTATGACTTCTTTTCAGGTTTGTTTGCGGTTGTGGCTTTGTTGGGGTTTTTGTTTTGTTTTGGTTTTTTTCCCCTTCTTTTATCCTATTTGGTTAATCATTAGAAAATAAAATATTTTTGAAAGATAATTTTCATAACTGTTTCTCTCTTTTCATACTAAATCTCCTAATAGGTACAAAGTTGCCTGGGGGACAAGAAGGTACCACAAGGAGAAAAATATGGCAGACAAAATGTGATTAAATAAACCTCAATTTCTGACTGAAACTACACCAGAAAGACAACTAAAAGAATTTTTCTCCGGTAATGCCAGTGTTGTAACACAACAGGGATGCTGAAACCTACCAACACTGAAAAAGGGAATATGCATAAAATAGACTCCCCCGGCCAAGAATCCCCCATTCAAACCCCTCCCCAGCAGTCTGCACAGTTTACATTACAGGCCAAACACCAACACAGAAAATAGAGCAAAATAGCAGCTTCTGTTATTATGTACCTTCTGAAACTCTACAGAGTTTCTTCTATGTTCCTCTTAGGCCTTCTGTGATCCTGAGTGCAATATTGCAGCACTGCGGTGCGGGACAGTGCCCCAGAGGATATATTAAGGCTAACACGTTACATTTTGCTTAGTTAAAGCAGGCTAGCATGATGGCAGAAGTGCCCTCAAATAAGCATGTAGAAAGGCAAAATTTATACTGAATTCAGAGATTAAATCTGAATATGGCAGAAAAAAAAAAGCACTATTGGTTGGTTGTATTGAAGAAATTATGAATCTGCAGATGTTGCAGGTGCAGAGGAAATGGGTGTTATCACTAAAAAGTAACTTTATACACCTGTTAGCCAGTGGAAGATTTTATTACAAATTTGTCTATTTCCTCACACAATGGTTCTTAAATTGTTATAGTCTTGAGTTGGTTTTGTAATACTAGTGCATAATAATAATAAACAAATAGTAGCATTAGAAGTACAGACAAGTGCACCAAACTTCCTTAGCCCAAAATGAAAGGGAGGTTTCTTAGGAAAATGAAAAGTAAGTTACCATGCATTATGGAAATCTCAAGGGAAAGAAGAAATGTTCAGCAGAACAACAAAAAGGGTATAATTTGTTATGTAAAAAAGACAATACCAACATTAATATAACAGGAAAATTGCTTAGTAGTTGAGGCAACTGTAACACATAGTTAATTCGCTGATGTAATTATGTGATATACATAAGAAATGCCATTTTCACAAATTTCCAAATAAATGCTCTGTTTTCTGTTGCAATGCTTCATACTTAGAGATGATGTCAACTGACACTTTCATCTTATTGGTTGCTTTATTTGATACACAATATTATAATAATGGAATGAGATTCTTTGGGGAATTTACTTATTGTTAAAGTAAATATTAAGTGTGGGTTTTTGACACTTTTGCTTTGACTAATGCATTCCAAAAAGGAAAAGGTTGAAGCCATAATGAATATGTTATGTAGAGGCCACAAAGAACATGTTATACAATCAAGCCACTTCAGGAACTGGAAGTGATATAACCCATATGATAGGGTGAACTAATTAGACACTTCCAAATAGTCAAGCTACTTCAAATATATCCACATGACACTACACTCTGCTTTATAATCACACCCCAAGTGTTAGCCATCTGTTTCAGAAATCATTTTACTGATACCATCTTCAAATATTCCAAAATACTGAAACTTCAAGTAAAACAAATATCTGGCATCGCTCATTAATTATCTGTCAGTATTTGTAAAACAGAAATGGGTTTGGTTTTTATTTTTGTTGGTTTGTTGCTTTTGTTTTTGTTTTTTTGATGGATGGAGTAGAAACTTACAAAATAAAACTTTTAGATCATAAGGTCAGAAATGTCTCTTGACAAGTACTTTCCCACTGCTTCACAGGGACAGACTGAATATGTCTCATACAGACATGAGCTAATTAGATAACTACAAACAGCATGATCTAAAAACAACAAACACATAAAATGATAAAGTTCAACAACATGAAGGTTATATGAAATGTATTATAGACATCCATTTAGACTACAGGTGGAAATTGCAGCTGTTCTTACTAAAGATTAAATCAGTGTAAACTTTATTACTGGAAAGTGTAGGAGCCAACTAAAGGCTCAGCTTAACATTTCCTTGGGCACTGAATAAATTTTGATAGGACATAAAAAAAATGTGGGACGTGCATACTGCGAATTCATGATTCTTTTTTGTAGGCTATGAGTCTCTCCCAGCACTCTAAAAATTGTTTGTGAAGTTAGGAGCCCTGAGGATCAGGTACCAATCTGTATCAAATCTGTTTCACCAAATCTGCCCAAGTTGAACAGGTTGCTCCTACACTCTCAGCATTGCAGCCTTCCAGGAGCTGTCATAAAACAGAAATTTCAGTCTTGGAGATGATCTAAATTATTCTAGAGAAACTGCTCAGTAGCTTATGGATAAAGATTCTGTAAACGTTGATCTGGTTCTGAATTCTATGTCAACATCCACACAGATGCATCCACTTAGCCCATCAAATGAGTACATTAATACTCTTTCTTTTCCAGTTAACGTACTGTATAGGATACTGCATAGGACAGTCATGCCGCTTCGCAGGATTTTACGCTAACTGAAACACTGTTGAAATACATATAGGTGATCTTCACCTTTCCTTCAATAAACTATATGGCTTATCTGTCATTGTAGTACAGAAACTATTGATCTGTAGAACAACTTCTCACCTCAATTAGTCTACAGGCAACCTATAATGCTCTGTTTACTCAGAAAGCAATTTCTCTGCCTGAATGTCTCAAAATAAGAAGTATGACAGTATTTAATACAACTCAATATGCATATTATTCACTTTATTCATTAACCTATTTTGTTGATAAATTTTACTTACTCTCATAGGTTATAATGTTCTCTTGAACAGTAGGAATTACCTTACTTAACAAAGGAAGTGAGGAGAGGCATAATGGAGAAAAAAGTAAATATTTGGCCTGCTTGTTATTTGTTTATCCAAGGTATAGTTTTAGTAACATGAGGATAAATACTGCTTGCTGATAAACCAACAGATGCATTAATTCATACACTACAGCTTGTACCCTGATGCCTTTTTCTACCTACTAGAAAACTGATAAACACAGCAACTGATTGCCTTAACATAAAATACCACCATATCCGAAATGTATATCAAAGTGCTGTGTGAAGAAAGTTGCTTGAACCTACAACAAGCTAAATACTCAAGTCATGCGCTAAACTGGTAAGATACAGAGAATAAATAGAAAGTGAGCCAGGCTCAAAGTCTAATGATTATGACCACAAAATTCAACTGGCAGCCAATTAATAGTAGTTGTTCAGGAATCAAAGTGTGGCCGAAACTATTTAATGTCTTAATTAATGACCCAAATGATAGATTGTAGTAGTCGCATAAAGTGAGCAGCAGGGCTGCTGTACAAAGTAACCTGGACAGGCTGAAGAAATGGGCTGACAGGACTCTCACAGCAGTCAGTGGTGGCAGTGGGAGGAATAATGCCATTCACCAGTACATGCTCAGAGCCAACCACCTGTAAAGCAGCTTTGCAGAAAAGGACTTGAAAAGGACCTTTCAAAACTTGACTAGACAAGCCCCTTATCAATGTGATCTAACTGAACCTGCTTTAAGCAGGGCTTTGGGTCAGAGGTCTCACATGAACGTATGTTCCTGGTATTCATGAAGTTATACCTCACATTTCACTGCCAGCCATCTTTGACAAAACAAAAGTGCAGCTCCAGCTGTGGACAATACTCAATGTTTCTGGGCAGCTTTCTTCTACAGTTATTCTTCATTCACGAAGCTGCATGTTTTCACTACATGCAATACGTTATTCTGGATTTTTCTTTTGAGACTAGTTTTTTTTTAGAAGTCCATTTCTTGCAGTATGTCTTGGACATCTGTTACATCTTTACTATGCTTATTTTTAATCTAATAAAAACAATTACAATACATCATCATTATGAATACAGTAACTATTATGATTCCAGAAGATCAGTCAATTTTATATTTCTGTCTTTTTTTCTGAATATTCTTTTTGACAATTACATCCTTTTCATACAGCTAAACTAAGGAAGAAATTGTTAAAGATGTGTTTGGTTTATTCTTCTTCCCTACCAAAAGCCACACATTTGCATTTTCTAAGAATATTTTAAGTGTAAGTGAAGTTGTCTCTTATTCACAAATATGACAGAAAAGTATAGAAAAGACTGAGAACATTCTGACATTCTCAGAGATCAAAAGTACTCTGGCTTCCTGTAAAAAGTGTTAAGTTTAT